TACAGGAATGGCTCCGATTGCGAGATCAGTGAGTGGTCCACGCATCAATACTTTGACACGTATCACTGCATCACACAGGACGAAAAAACAAGAATATAAGTTTATTTGTGCACACAGGATCTGCTTATGCTTATTGCAACTCACTATATAAAACTGGAGCAAATGTTGCGTAATGACCGAGAGTCACGTTATCTTCGTTAATTATTACTAAAAATCAAAGGCGAAGGGAGGGGTGGGGCAATGCATAATTAATACTTGATATGTAAACATTTCTGCTAGCTCTTGTTTTTTGGCATGAAACTCTATTCAATTTTGCAAGGGCTTTGCCTGGTTTATTTTTTCTTCAGAAAAAATATCGAGAATATAAAAATAAACAGAAATACTAATACAGTGATGTAGTGATACGTGTCAAAGTATTGATTCGAGGACCACTCACTGGTCTCGCGATCGGAGCCATTCCTGTACATTCGTCACGTCAGAGGCTGAATACAGGATTCGCTCCGGAAAACTAAGACAGCTAGCGCTGTTTGCTATTCTCAATCTCATATTTTGCTAAAGAGAGAAGCAAGACGGGCTTATTATAGTTTGTCAATCGACTATAACTTTGTTTCGCTGTTCTGGGGTGGATCTCCTAAAGAAACAGAAGAAAGTCCAGTGTTCAGTTTAAGAAAACGTGATGGTCAATCAGCGATGGGAGCTATTCCTGTACAGCGGTTAAATACAGGAATCGCTCTGAGTCTAAGTTATGTTTGAAACGAACGGAGACGATTCTGTCGCCTTATCCACGCAAACAATTCATTTCCCGCGATGTAAGTAGATGAATTTGCCTGCCTTAATTGCTTTTAGATTCTTTATGCACATGTCAACGATTATCGCAATTTTGGCGGCAATGAACAGAACAAAAGAGCAACGCGAGCGGCTTATAAAACTAAAAATAAATACACGAAACGTTCGAGAGATCATGTGAGGTGAAAATTGTCATTTCGAGTCAAACGTGAACTTATTAAGTAATTACTATTTTCATCATCCAATTACAGGTCGGAGCCATTCCTGTATTTAGCCGCTAGTGTCAGGCTGCAGCTAACATTTGCATATTTCGAAGATGGAGCTGTTGTTATCAGAATATTTTACTCTTGGAAATATTTTCCTTGCCATCGTGTTCTTGCTGATTCTCAATCAACTGATTGAGCTATATCAGTTCAGGAACATGCCTCCGGGACCTCGTCTGACAAGTTTACCTTTTATAGGAAATCTGTTGAGCTTTGATGCTGGAGAAAGCCTTCGCGAGGCCACAACGAGGTTTGTTTACACGCTTCGATGGTTTGCATTCTGTGCGTTTTAGCTTCTTCATTCTTGTCAACTTTGTTTTTGTAATAATGTTAATGAAAGCTTGTCTCTACTAAAATAGCTTTGAAGCGTTTATGCATTAAGGGAGTTAATTATGTGATCGATATCGTGAATATTATTGCGAAAGAGCTACAGTGAAAAATGTAAATAACAGGAAAATAACATTAATAATCAAAGTCACGAGAAATGAGTCAACGAGCGAAACAAGGCGGTGAAGGGCCTGGCACTTTGCTCGTGTCATTAACGATGAGAGCCTGCGAGCAGGCTATTTCTAAACAATCAGTGTCTTCTTATTCTCTGGTTTTTCTCTTTCGTGCGCGTTGCTCCACCTGCGGGATCATGACTAAAACTACACTCAAGAACTACAAGTAGGTCTAACAGACGGATAACAACCCTGAGATACATATGACTTTACATAGATCCCATACAGGTACATATGGGTAACACCTTGGGGACCCGCGGACGGATTAATACAAACAAGAAGATCTTTTAGATTTTATAACCGCGCTTTTAAAATTTAATTGTTTTCCTAGCACTACAGTCGCAACACAGTGCACATTCCAAAGCAGTCCTTGATGATTCATTGATTACTGTAGACACCACATCACTTAATCAACACAAACTGTATTATTGCACCATCGCTCTTAGCCTTTGTAAAATCTATGATGACGTAAAGGTCTTAATCTGGAAGTTCGCTCGAAAAGGAAACGAGTATCACGCTATTAATTGCTCTATTAATAAACAGCTTTCTTCCTTAAAAGTCAAAATTTAATTTGGTTGTGCTATGAGTAGAGGACGAGCAAAGTATTCACGCAAGTCACACAATCCGAGGTTTACGCTATCCACAGCTAATTTTAGAACGGTTGTGTTTTTCCCCTAGCATCGACATAAGCGCCTCAAGTTCTGGCAAGCTCTTGTTTACCTCAGCAAATATTTAATTTTCCTTCAAATCTCTTAACTCACTTTGATAAAACAGCCAAAGAATTCACGTCATTTGCCTAAACCCACAAGAAACACTCGCAAAATTGTACATAAATTAATGACCGTCGCTTCTGGTGAAATAAACCACGATCTTACTTGTCACGTAGCGAAAGTGAAAGCTGCAACGTCAGCGCATTCCATGGCTGACGTAATACCTATTTTTAGCGTATTGAATATTCCCTTCGAAGCCAACGCTTCGATAAAACCAAAGAAAATATCTTTTAGACACAATAAAGAAAACAATATCCGTAACATAGTCCGTGTATTAATGTTTCAACAGCTTTTGGCGAATAAACATCACACGTTGCGTGATTCAAAATTTGGCCGAGAGAAAGTTTGGCTCTGCTCACCGACAAAACCCTGTGCAGAACGTGAACCGCACTCGGCTCATGGCCGCGCGGTTAAAATAAAAATAAACCCCGTCCAGAGCGGGGCTGCAGAGCAAGAACCGCGCTCGGCCCATGGTCGCGCGGTTAAGGAGTACATATGAGTTGCATACGATTATAAGCCGTTCCCTGCATTGCTTCTTTATCTTTCCAGTCTTGGTTTTTGTTTGTTTAGCTTTGTTTTCCTCGTTTTTCAATTTTCACGCTTGCTTCTCATGAGTAGTCCAGCCTTGCGTATCACCCCTGGGATGCCCTTGCATGGAGGTGATTGCGTGATACCATATATTACCTTGAAATTTTTAACAGGATTAGTTTCAAATTACGGTTGGGTCCTATCATCAACTGTTGTTTTTTTGCGGGGCCGTCACTTGTTCCCCACTTAACGTGCACTGGACATTTACGCCAGAGGAATTTTGTTTTTGAACACCACTCAAACAAGTAATGGTCCGTCCCTTTCGTAAGCTGCGTTTCGTGCAACGCGCCGTCATTTTGAACACAGAGGACGCCCTATAAAATAGTCCAGCAAGCACCTCGGCATAACGACCATAGAAACTGATAACATTTCTCTTACATTTTTTTTCTGTTTCATTGCAAAAGCATGAGAAAGAAGTATGGCGCTGTGTATTCAATGAAAGTGGGCAGTTTTAAACTTGTAGTGGCTGAAGATGCTGATTCTGTAAAGGAAGTGCTAGTGAAGAAGTCTGCTGATTACGCTGGAAGGCCTCCATTTCACAGCCTTGTAATGACTACACTCGGTATGTCTGTCTTTGAATCGCTAGATAGATGTTTAAAAAGAACAGCAAGGAAGTGCAATTTTCAAAGTCAGTATTAATTCATCAAGTCTAAATTCGTCAACTTTAAGCGATTTTAAACTCTTAAGTACGACAGTGGTTCGGATATCTGATCTTGATTGACATAGAATTTTCAGTTACAGTTCTCAAGTTTCTACTCAGATTTTCTCTCGACTGAGAAGTGATATATCAAAAAGTCCACCTGCTGTTTCATCGAAGTTCCGATCACCTAGAGAACCCTCTCGTGTTCGCTAAATTGAGGTGCACGCTTGATACAGTTTGGTTTTACTATGTGATGGGGGTGATACAGTGGATGTACACATGTACCGAGGGGAAATATGCAATTGGTAATTTACGGTTCTCGCCCTTTATCCTTGCTACCTCTATGAGATATGTCTGCAGGGAATCATGGCAGTTGTATTCATCATCTTGGACTGGATATTTGTCTTCATTGAAAAATAGATTACCATGATTTCCTGAAGGCACATCTCAAAGGTGGAATTGCCCATTCATTGCGAACATGCCAATTTTTCTTGAATCTCTGCCCTTTGAACTTCACAACGAAGATTTTATTCCAGTAATCTTTTATGTCCTTTCTACATTTTAGGAGGAAAGGATATCGCTTTTGCGAACTATGGCCCTGGCTGGAAATTTCATCGTAAGCTGTTCATGGCAGCTGTGCGAAAGTATCTCTCT